GAAATTTGTAAACTTGCTGCAGAATTCTAGGAGATGATGCACTATTAGAAGTATGGGGTGATGAACTAAAGATGGTTTTAGGTGTAAAGTTTGGAACTTTATGATGAAGCTATGCTATTTATGGTGGATGGTTTAAGCATTTCATAGCTATGTATTCTTTGCAATTTACTCAAGTTTGAAATGTTATTATCAGTTCACCAATTTCACAATGATTTAAGTTTTTTTTTTCTTTATTAGAGTTTCTCTTAAGATTTCCCTGTTAGTCTTCTCATTGAGAAAGAGTGTTTGTTAGGGTCTAACCGGAGATCTTGTTATTTCAAAATAATTTTTTGGATGTTTAGTATTGCATAACTTTGTCTTAAATGTAGCTACATGGTCAATGAGGATTCATGTAGCCGACCCCTACTTGCTTGTGATTGAGTCACAGTATTGTTGTTGTAGTGTTATATACTCCCTCCGTTTTAAAAAGAATGAAGAGGTTCAAAGTACGAGGGTGGAACCATCTGCTTTTCCGTATCAATTTGGATGTTGATTTATACATCCTTTGAAATAAAATGTATATAATTATGAGAGTTAGCTTAAATGGTTACTAGTTCTCTTCCATGTTCTGAGATGACCCTCACATACTTTCTTCCCCTTTCCCCAGTCACGTTCTTTTGTGTGCTTCCGACTTGGTTTGCAGTAATGTATCAAAGATTGTTTAAGTTGTTCGGATTATGTATTTTGAAATCAATGTATAGCCAAGGTTGAGGACACTGATCCAACACACAGTGAATTGGACTGATGGAAATTAAAGAAGTTTGTTATGTTCCGGTGTCTCTGATTTTGCTCTTTCTTATTATAGCTAAACGGATTGAAGTATGTTGTGCTAATAGTTTACTGTCCTAATTTGTTTTCTTTTTTGTGAATTAATTCTTTTGGCTTTTGATGCAGATTTCGTACAGGCTGGACTTTGTGTTGGAGCATACCAGTAATTGTCTTTTCATTTTAGTTGAAAACTATTAGAAGTTGGATCAGCTGCCTCTTTGGGAATTACCCTTTATACCCATTACGATTGACCTTTTTAGATAAAAATATCTCCCTTACAGCTGGTGATGAATATAAACTTATAGTTCCTTCATTTTTTGATATCTTGAATGGCTGGATCTTTGTTGCCAGTGGGTAAGGCAGTCCTACGTTCCCGCCAACCTTCCAAATGTTATATGTTCAATGCTGATCTCCAGCATCCGAAGTCAATTCCAATTCTCCCTCCATATAAGAAAAGAGTCAAACAGAATAATACTTTGAACAAGTCAGTGCTCCTAAGTCCATTAGTTTGCCAATACCGGTTAAAACCAGTTTCGGCGCTTGACTCAGATGTTCCCTATCCTATTGAACAGGTATTAATCCCCTTTCATATGCATCTAATAATGGTTGTTGGGCTCATTTTTAAAAGTAAGCTACGGTTCAGTTGGAGGTAATGAAATATGACCTAACAGTGATGTTAAATCTAGAGTTCAGAAGGTTTAAAGAGCAGCGAGAGCTTTAAGCAATGGGATTCATTGACTGCGAAATTTGCAGGAGCTGCAAATATTCCGTTTCTCATATTACAACTGCCTCAAATAATACTGAATGCTCGTAACCTTCTAGCAGGAAATCAAGCTGCATTATTTGCAGTTCCATGGCTGGTATGGCATTCTGCTTTATTCTAGCTACTTATAGCTGTGGTCTTATTAATGTTGAGAGATAAATAATCTGAGATGAACATAATACAGGGGATGTTCACTGGATTACTTGGTAATTTATCTTTGCTATCATACTTTATAAAGAAGAGGGAGACGGAAGTGGTTGTTGTGCAAACTTTGGGTGTCGTGACCATTTACGTTGTGATATCACAATTAGCCATGGCTGGATCTATGCCTTTGCCTCATTATGCAGTCACTTCTGTTGTTATTGCGTGTGGTCTTGTTGTGAACTTCATGAACTACTTCCACTTGCTCAATCCCGTAATCTGGCGTTACTGGGAGGATTTCATTACTATTGCTGGCTTATCTGCGCTTCCCCAAGTAATCACCCTCTCTTTTCTTTCATTTTCTACTCATCCATATGATGAATTTGGTTGAGATTCTTATATTTGTTTGGCATTCTGCACCAGGTCATGTGGTCAACTTTCATCCCATATGTTCCAAATACCATCTTGCCTGGTGCTGTGGCTTTTGTTCTGGCTATCTTAGCTGTCTTTATGGTAAGCTTTGACACTGTAGCTTGTATATATGGTTACTTTTTCAAGTATAATGTTGAAATGGCCATTTCTATTATTCTGCCTTGAAGTGAACAAACTGAAGAAAAATATTGCAATGCCAGAAAAAGAAGATTATTTTTTTTTGCTCGACTTAATAAATAGAAAGCTAATTCAACATGTGCACTGGGAGAATACTCAACTCTATGTTCAAATTTATGTTGTTTCTGAACTACTGCGGCCACACAAGAAGCAAAGAAGGGTTTTTTTCTTCATTCATGACTGAGGGGAGAGAGATGATAGCTTCTCTGGCTTGGGGTGGGATAACTGGCTATCAGTCAATTCTTTTCATATTTCTTCCTTAATATTAATAAAAGGTTTCAGTTTTCTGATATAAACTGGAAGGGCAAGTCTAAAGTGGTGGCTCAACTAGGTGATTGAGCGCTTGTATTCCAGATTTGATGATTGTTTATGCTTTGTGTCTTTATGAATAAGAAGATATTCTTTTAAAGGTACAATAATGGACTGCATGTGGAAGCTCGAAATTCTGTAGGGAGGTTGTCACATCTGATTGATGTGCCTGGAAGTATGGAAGCTTCTGTTGTGGCTTACTGCGGTTTTATGTCATTTTTGCTCCATGGTGACCATAACTGGAACTTGATCTGAAAGTTTTCTGCTTGCTTTTATTGCATATATCACACGTATAAGAGAACGCTTAACTTTCATGTTACCAAATAATGTCGCAAAGGCAGTTGCTCACACATTGACTTTTCTTTACTTTTGATATTGTTAGATTACACACACTAACTCGATTAGGATTGACAATTATCTTGTGTTCATTTTCCTTGGCTCAAGAGCAAGCTAGAGACTTTTGTATGCACTTTCTGTGGGAAGATAATTTTGTTATGCTTGAGAAAATGAGAACATGGATCTGAATTATTCTGAATTTCAAGCTACTGTTATTTACAGTCTCGGACTGGGAAACTTCCAGAGAAGGGCATCAAATTTGTAGGATCATTATCTGGATGGACTGCCACACTTCTTTTCATGTGGATGCCAGTTTCACAAATGGTAGTTTCTATGAAGTTATTTTGGAGTAAAATTGTCAAATCTTGGTTTTTTCACAAGTTTGAGGTTCCTCATCCTGACTTATACCTTCTGTCTAGTGGACAAACCTTCTAAATCCAGATAATATAAAAGGTTTATCAGCTCTTTCGATGTTGCTTGCAATGATTGGGAATGGACTCATGATTCCACGAGCACTCTTTACTCGGGATTTGATGTGGTATGGCATCTTACAATTGTTTTCCCTTACATTACAAACTTCCTTTTTCTACTTTAGCTGTCAAATTATATCTAGCGTTCCTCACATCACCTATTTATTTTTGCTTACAAGCATCATTGTCTACAACTTTTCTTTTTTTTTTTTGTATAATGTTCTTGTTCTCTTCCTTTACTTTTTTGTTATTGTGAACCTTCAGAACTAAATTTGTTCACATTTGGTGCAATTCAAATTTTCTTTTGTAAATTTCTTCATTAAATTTCACCTACCACCTGGTCAGCTGTTTAGTCCCGTGATGCTGAGTATTTCTTTTAGTTCTTCTTTATGGTGTTTAATTTTCCCCTCTTGATTCTCTTCTTGATTAATAATAGGTTCACCGGTTCAACTTGGGCATGCGTTTTTTATGGATGGGGAAACCTTGTCTGCTTATATTGGTAAGTTGTGCAGAAGTGCTGTGCTCAATAGTTTTCAAGATTTATTCAAGAATTGAGCATTGTTCTACTTAATAAATCCCTTTTGTTCTACATCCAGCTGCGAAGTTATAAGCAGGGAATTTTTCTTGGCTTCAACAACTGCCTTTGTAGCATGGCTGGGTACACTCTCACTTCATTTATTTTGTTTTAACTTGAACTTTCTGTCTCTCGCAAGTTTAACTATACTGTTTGGGCTACAACTCCATGCCTTGTTCATCGATGGCTCAGCCAGTCATCCCTCGGGGTGCCTCATGATGGCCTTTTCCCCCGTTCCCTCGCGTGTTATTGCATTTTGCTGATGGCAATATGACTCCTCTTTCATTTTCTTTTCTTTGTGGGTGAAAACAGTGTTCAGCTTCTGGAGAGACACACAAGTATATGGATATAATTCTCCATTGAAATCGTTGAAGGAACTGATTTCTGGTTCATAACTGATCCTACTTGTCCTACCTTGTTGGCTTTGGCTACATATTTGAAATGCAAGAATGTTAAAGTTTGGCATTTCTGCTATGAATCAATTGCTCTTCTTTAGAAGATTTGGTGAAAGTGCTTTTGGCAAGTGTTTTTGGGGGTACATCAGGCAAGGTCTAGTTGCAATGTCAAATTATTCAGCATATGGTTTATGAGGAAGGTTCCTGTGGTTCTTTTACATGTAATATTAATCAATAATAAAGCTACATTTGCAATGTTAGTGCAAATATATTTGTTGTATTACATTTTGGGACAAATTCTTAATAAATATAAAGTTTAAAACCATATTTGCAAAAAAATTAATTGTGTTTAGGTTATTACATTATTTTGTGGCTAATACTTTCTTGTTGGTTGGTTTGTCTCTTTTCCACACACCTATTTGCCTCTGCAAGATAGATAAGGAGTATGATTTGCGTACACTTTGAATTTTTGCACTTAACTTCTCATAGTCTTGATGGTGTTACAATGACCTATTGTAGTCTAAAAGATCTAAGTTAGTAGTATTTAGAGTCTAAAATTTGTTCTAAAGCACAACAGTACGAATATAACATGGAAGTGACCAAAACTCAAAAAGTCTTTCAAAATATGCAAATATTATTACACAATATGTTGAGCAAACTCAGGAGGCCTTTTAGAAAACATATACTTTGCCTCCAAACTCTACTTTTAACATTATTTTACCCATTAAAATACCGTTTGTTTTATTACATTCAAGCTCTATATTACTAGGTAATATACTGTCCTATTTTCCCTATTTAGCATATTTCAACGTCCCATAGTGATCATGCAACGGAGGCCTTCCCCTTTCAGCATAATGTCAAATGCTTTGTTGATCTCTGAAAATGGTACTTGATGGGTGATGAACTTCTCCAGCTCTAGTTCCTGAAAAAATTTACTCCGGGATGAAGTTCAACTTCTATGCACGGATAGTCGTTTTGAGTATATATCGAAAATAGGTGCAAGGATTACCTTATTCATGTACTTGGCCACCACAGATGGGAGATCAGTTTTGGGCTTGTAGTTACCAAAGAAGGTGCCCTTGAGTGTCCTCTCATTCAACAGGTTCATGGGATGAGTTTTGAATGCATCGTCTTTGTTTGGCACGCCAACAAGCACAGCCACACCCCAACCCTGTAAATCAAGTATGTCATAAGATTGTGACCCTTACATTTGAGTGGAACGAGATGGAAAAAAGACTTAAAAACAGATGAGAATTGTTACATCATGAACACATTCAAAAGCAGAGATCATAGCGTTAACATTTCCAGTACACTCGACACTCCGGTCAACACCTCCATTGGTCATCTCAGCGATCACCTGAAAATCATCGCGCAAACCTCAGACAAGAAGTTGCTACACATGATATGTTATGTGCAGTGGAAACAAGATGGACATGCCAGAGACAAACAAACCTCCTGAACAGGCTTATCATGATCTTTTGGATTCACAAACTCTGTGACACCGAATTTCTTGGCTGTCGAAATTCAAAAGAAAAACAGAAAATCAACAAATTTTGACATTACATTCTTGGTCATCCATAATCAAATGCACTCACCATCATTGAATCTGCTGGGATTCAAATCAATACCAATGATCCTAGAAGCCCCAGCTAGCCTAGCTCCTTCAGCAGCCTAATACAAGATGACCGACACAACATTCTCATTATGACAACGAACGGACATTGTATCGAAAAGCAGAGGGTGGAATGTACACTCACAGCAAGGCCAACAGCTCCCAAACCAAAAATAGCCACATAAGAACCTCTAGTAGGTTTGGCAACATTCAGAGTCGCACCAAGTCCTTCAGAATAGATGAACTCCGCCATAAGACAATATCCAATTATAAAAAACTTACTCAAATGACTAAAGTTGAATAAAACCTGTTGATATTCCGCAACTCAGGACACAAACTTTGTCAAGTGGTGCCTGTGGATCGATCTTGGTGACGCAACCAGAATGAGCAACAGTGTATTCACTAAAAGTGGAAGTTCCAACAAAGTGGTATATCGGCTTTCCATCCTTGGAAAATCTTGTTTGACCATCACTAATCATAACTCCCCTGTCTGTATTTATTCTTAGGAGTTCACACATGTTGCTTTCTGATGATTTACAGTGACGGCATTGCTGACATTCTCCGGTAAACACAGGAAGAACATGATCTCCTGGTTGAAGATCTGTAACACCTTCACCTACACTCTCCACAATTCTACAACCACACAAATGTAAACACTCTTATACATACTGAATAAGTTCGAAAATAACATAAGAAAATCAACTACTCCATACCCTCCAGCTTCATGTCCGAAAATTCGAGGAAACAAAGGTGTTTGTCCCTACAGCAAAACAGAGGATTGCAAATCAATAACTACACCAACCATCAAGATGGAAAAATATGCAAAAGGGTCAAGACGAATGCTACAATATTCACCATGATTGCGAAAAAAAGGTATAAGCAGAACAGACCAAGTGATATTTAACAAAAGATAACAACTTTACATATCAAAAACCTCATAAAAAACATACATTTTTTATTGGGATCACATAGGTAACAACAAGTATAGTCATTATACCAAACTTTCTATCTAATAAACAGAACCCTTTGTGCTTCTAACACCAATAAGCATGATCAACACAGAAAATTAAAAATTAACAACCCAAAGTTGACAGAGTTAGGTAATTCACTACATAGTGGTTAGATATCTCTCCATTCTACCCTTCAGGGTGGGCCATTTTCCCCTTCAGGGTGGGCCAGTGGTTTGGGCTTGGGACATGGAGGTCTCAAGTGTGAACTACCCTTCGGGGTGGGCCAGTGGTTTGGGCTTGGACTGGGACTTCCATATTGGAGGTCTCAAGTGTGAAACCCCTTGCCAGGGAAAGTGAGGGGTTTGGGCTTGGACTGGGACTTCCATATTGGAGGTCTCAAGTGTGAAACCCCTTGCCAGGGAAAGTGAGGGGTTTGCCTTCTGGGTCGAGCTCGTCGCATCGAGAGCTCGTCGCACCGAGAAAGTAATGGATTTGCCTTTTGGGTCCGGCTTGTCGCACCGGGCTTGCCTAGTGCAGGTTAGCTCTCTTACGTGATTTGCGAGCTAGCATAGGATAGCTGCTGTGGATTTCCCTTGTCATCAAAAAATAATATCTCTATATTTGTACAGAGAATCAAATCCTTACAAATTGAACTAGCACTAAACACTCAAAAAAGTTGATATAATGATTTCAAAACACACAAAAGTTTGAAGAAAAAGACCTTAGCTTCCCAGAAGTAAACATCAGTGTGGCACAATGAGGTGAAGAGAATCTTGAGACGAACTTCATGTTTCTGTGGAGGTGCAACATCCACTTCTTCAATTACCAAAGGTTTTCCAGCTTCCCATGCAACCGCAGCTACACAAAAACAATCACAAGACCATAAAAGAGCCACAGATTTTGAAAAAATCTAAGAAATTTTACTTTCACTCACAAAAAGATCATATTTTTTTCCAAATCACAAACAACCAAATCCCCAAAAATCACAACTACACAGATCCTTGATATAGCCAAAAAAAAAAAAAAAGGATCACCTTTGCAGCGAATAACCTGACCAGCAGTATTCATTGTTGTTGATTTATGGCTTAAACTTTTTTTTCTAAAAATGGTGTTTTGTTGAATTTATGATAACTCGGCACCGTCTGTTATAGTGCGAGCGTAAAAAGGCTTACACACTTCATTTCTGTTTTTAGGACCACGTGTCTTCCTTCTTCTATCTTCATTACAACACCTCTTTTTTTGTCAACTTTCTAGTTATAGTTTTAATGTAATTGTGCCAAATAGCATACTACTACCACCATCTTTGTTATGTTTTTTAAAAATTTAACTTTTTTTTAAAAAAAAATTATATATTCAAAAACTATACATAAAATACATATTAATATAATGAGAAAAAAAATATTATAAGATCAAAATTTTTATCGTTTGAATTTAAAAATGAAAAGTATGATGATAAAAAAAGTGGATGGAAAGAGTATTATTTTAATTTTTGGATAGCTCTATTAATTCAGATTCTTTTCAGGTAAAATTTTATTTATTCTAGTCCCCAATCACAATAATAATACAATTAACGATCATTTCTGAAAGATGTAGGTATATTTCTTAAGGTTTCGAATAATAAAGAATCACATCGCAAAATTTTATTTTGTACAAAAAGATATAATCAAAACACTAATAGTTGATTATATTGTTGAGTTCATCCTATCTTTTTGGTCAATTTTTGTTATTCAATTGCTACAAGTAATTGTTAAAAAGGAATAGTAATTAGAGTTGAAAATGAATGATTTGGTAGTTGACAAATTAGTAAGATTTGCAATCCTTTTTTTTACTTTGCTATATTTGCATATGTCATTAGTGACTAGGCATGATTTTATCCTTCTATAAATAGAGCATTCTTGCTCATTTGTAGTACACACCAAGTTAGAGAGAAAAATCATTTTGAGAGCAAAGTGAGGTATTCCATAGACTAGAAGAAAAATAGATGTGAGTGATATTTTAGTAAGGTGAAAATCAAAAGAGTGTTGTTCCTTTTGAGATTTTGAAGAACAATTTGTTTAGATAAGGTTCTTAGACTTTAGGGAAACGAATTTAACTAAAGGAGGTGTGAGAAGCACTTCATTATTTTTTTTATGAATGAAGGTCGAATTTAACTAGAGGACTTGACCTTAAATATTATATATGGACACATCAAGGTCGAAGAATAATGAGTAGTTGGATCGTTATTTTTTTTTCTTTCCGCACTAGTTATTTCATAGTATTACTCTTGTAATTTCTTGTTTTTTGATTTATGTTACTCGATAGTGTTTCTTATATTTCGATTATCATATTATTTTAATTGTAGTTCTCGTTCCTTTTATCATACTACTTTGTCATGATTTTTTTGTGGTATTTTAGTTATGATTTGTTTACTTTTGTCAATCTTTCCAAACTATTTTGAATTGTTTTTTTCTAGAACCGCAACTCCTTAACCCTCTAAGACATGTAGAGATAAAATTTCCACATATTTTATTCTCATTAGGTTCATATGAAAAATTACATTGAGTACATCGTTGTTGATTAGTATGAATGGGTATAAAAATTAATATACAATAATTTTTTTGAGGAATGTTATATTATGAAATAGCTTTTGATATTAAACATGTCACATAAATATCAAAATTGTTAAATTATCTCAACTCCATTTATGAGACTATACAAACAAATTGAGACTACATACGTACTTTTTACAAATTGAACTTTCATTTACAAGCATGCATGGAATAAATATTTGTTCCTTCAAAAGTAAAATAATGGTCAAGGGCTCAATTAATTATCTTTAGAAACTGATGAAAAGAATATTAATTTACAATATGAATACTTAATACTTTTTTCCATCAATACACAAAAGCATTGAAAAAAATTATAGATAGTTGAACAAAAATTCTCAACATTTACAAGCATGCACTAAATATTTATTCCTTCAAAAGTAAAACAGTAGCAAGGGCTCATTTAGTTATCTTTAGAACTGATGAAAAAGAATATTAATTTACAATGTGAATACTTAATACTTTTTTCCATCATCACACAAAAGAATTTAAACAGTTCTCATGTTGAGAGTGGGATTTGAACCCACGCCCTTTCGGACCAGAACCTTAATCTGGCGCCTTAGACCAACTCGGCCATCTCAACATTTGATTATTAATAGTCACCACATTTAATATATCTTTGTATGCAAAAGAATTTGAGACCACAAGAGGATACTAAGATCAATCGTATATTTATATAATATAAGAACCCGAGGCCTGTCCACGTGGCGCCACCATAATAAAAAAAAATTATAAATTTATTTATTTTCAAGACTGGTCTTGCTCTTTTATGAAAATATGTGAATTTTATGAAAAGTTTGTACTTTTATAAAAAGTTGTGACTTTAACGAAGAGTTGCGACTTTTATCAAAAGTTGTGACTTTTATGAAAAGTTTCAACTTTAATTATGAGTTGCGAATTTATGAAAAGTTGCGACTCGACTTAAATGAAAGGTTGTGAACAATCCGAAGGGTTGCAACTTTTCCAAATAGTTAAAACCTTTCTAATAAAACACAATAAACATCTGTTCACACTACCCTGTGTTTTCTATAAATAGAGGGCTTTGTCTCATTTTAAAACAACAAACATTGTGATCTTCTTCTTCTACTTCTGTCAAATTAAATATTCGTGTACTATGCTCATTTTGAGTGACTTGCTAGTACCACTGTTTTTGTATGAATAAGTTGGTGAATAAAATCGTTCCATCGTGAGAGGATATAATTCATTAAACATCTGGTATTGGAGGGGAATAGTTTTCTTAAGGGGACGTCGTGCATTCAGTGGTCTCGATTATTTCCTTTCTATTTCATTCTATATTTACATATCCTGGTATGTTTTATTTACATTCATTAATATATGCATATGATATTAATTGTTCTTTTTGAGTACATGTTTTAAACTCAATTGTCTATGCTACTATAAAGTTCCTGTCTCCAACATTATTGAACATATACATTTATAGTACGTATATTAATTGTGTAGAAAATAATTATTGTACTCTATTTCAAGAATTCGTGTTTTGATATTCTATATTAAATTCTAGGCATAATACACAAATGTGTCCTTTAACTTGGCTTTGAATCACATTTATGCCCTTCAACTTTGGTGTGCACAAGCAGACACTTAAACTTGTATAAAGTTGAACAAATAGACACACATGTCCTACATGTTATTTTTTGTCCTACGTGGTGTCCTACGCGTATTGTGTCATGTAGGATTAATGTGTTTATTTATTTAAAAGTTGGATAGTTAAAGTGTTTGTTTGTGCATTATGAAAGTTGGAGGTCAAAGTTAAAATTTGAAGTCAAGTTTAGGGTCCAATATATATATTATGCCTAAATTCTATAACGTAAAAGTACTATATATAAGCTTTACATGTTATCTATTTTTACATAGATATGAAATTTCTCACTTATCAATTGAAGAAATTCGTTATGTAAGTTCAAAAGTTATAATTGTTTTCATGTTCAAGTCTTTTTTTGAATATGTTACCATATTTTTGAATTTTCTCTTAAGACATATATCACAATTGTATAATCTATGCAACTTAAATGATTCTTTTTATTACAAATGTCCTTGTATATATATTATTATTTTATTTTTTATTTTCCTTTTAATGTTTATCAAAGAACCAATGATATATTATTTCGTTAATAATTCATTCATTATAGGTTCTTGAGTTATGTGATAATGAAAATTAATCAAATTTATGCTTATATTTTTTGAAAAACCTATTTTCCATTATTTTTAATATATTGATATTAGTAAAAACTTTTTTTCAAGTTCAATGCAATTATTATTTATGACCGCGCGAAGCCCGATCAAATTACCTAATTTAAAATATTTCATTACACTTTATATCACCATCACGTAATGAGTAGATATCACATATTTTTAACTTGTATCAATAGATCCAGATGATGGAGCAAATTTTTACTTGTACTTAAGAATCACTGTGTTTGGGGTACATCGAATATAATATGTATCAATTCTCAATATCAAATTTATTTTGTATTCAATAAAATATAAGTGACAGAGATGAAATTTGTATTCTAACAACAATGTTTATAATATGTATTGACTGTATTCATGATACAAGTACAACAATTGTATCCCATCAAATATAAGTGAGAGAGAGATTAGATTTGTATTCTAACAACGATATATATATTATGTATAGATTGTATTCATGATACAACATACATATTCATTCTCTCTCCCACCCCCATCCCACTCACCTCTCTCAATCTCGAAGAAGCACAAAAAGAGAGACAGCATTTGGACTTAGGCTGCAGGTTATACTCTCACACAACCATTAATCATTTTTTATGACAATTTTCAAGAGAGGACCACTGGAGGCGTTCAATTCAAACCCAAATAAACAAACACATCAGAAACGATGGCCTCCGGAGTTTCACTTGAACATGAAAATCCCCTTTTAAACGATTCTTTTGAAAATGCATTTGCATAGTTCCGTTCAAACATAAAGGAACAAAGTAAACACTTGAAACTCATGAGCATAACATGAAAATATAATACAACTATTGATCACAACTTGTTCACTAACTAGAATTGCTTGTCACTATGCATGCGCTAACTTGGCCAAAAGTACCATGTCTAAAATTTTAACATCAAGGGTATCATCCACCTTTACAATCCCATCAGTGCCATCAACACCAATAAGCTTGCCGGTTGCACCACGTTGAGGACCACCCATTATCTTGATTTTATCAGACTTCTTTGGTACAATTATATCAATTTCAGTTGGGTGCGCAATGATAGTGTCACCATTGCCGCTTGATCCAAGACCAACACTACAGGAACCATCCTGCTCCACAAGCAAGTTAGAGAATACTGGTTAATTTTCCAATGAAACTATTCCCTTGAAAAGAAAGTTCACAGCCAGATACAAAAAAGCAGAAGAATCAACCTCTGATTAAATAGAGCCATTAGCACAGTTTTATATACGTTACACACATTCACTTTAATGGCTTCTATACACACTACTGATGATGGAAGAACGTTCTGAAAAAATGTGGTTAAATAACAATAACAGAGCATCACATCAAAGTTAAAGAGTGGATAGTTTAAAGTTGTAGAACTAGA